GTTTGTGCTCCATCATCGAGTGGAAGACATAACCAAGACGACCAGCCGAAAGAACGCGACGAGTCATCGGATGATGATTCCGGTGTTGCGCCGACTGGTACAGTTCACCCAGTTCTACTACTCGTGGCACATCATCGCGACGATCTCTCTCTTCCGCGCCGTCTTCCTCGCATCTACCGGTGGACCGGAGTGAAAGTTTCTCTCGAGTGGATCGCGCTGTGCTCGGTGTTGTTCCCCGTTCGTCGTTTGGAAATCCTGCTTTAATCTGTCGAGGGCAAAGCCGCCGGCTTGAAGTCCGTTGCACCGTGAAGATAGCGCGAGTTCTCGCGATCGGTCGACTGAGTCACTCACAAGTCGTTCTCTCGCGCGATCAATCGTGTTCACGGCGACGCGAGTGAGAAATCTGTGACTAATTTTCTCTACGGGAACGGCTGCGGGAGTGTCTCATTCCATCGGCGATCGTGCGATTCCCTTGCGGAACGGAACGGTTCACACCGAGAAAGCATTTTCGATCCTGTTCAGAGATAAGAAGTGACATGTTGGTTCGTACGGTTACGGGAGTACATTGAACTTATGGTGCTGCGAGTGTTTTCATGAGAACTGGTTCGCGTGGACAGTGTGAAGCCTGTTTCAAGTGAAGTGAGGAATTTTTTTTTTTAATTATTTTTGTTTAAGCATTGGAAGTGTGTACGCGAAGTGACACGATGGGCGAAATAATAGAGATTTCCCAGGGGGATACGCAACAAGCTCCAGTAAATGGATGGGGCGACACTATGGGAAAAATACAGTATTGGTGCCCTGAAGGTAGCTACCGAATAATTCTAGTAACATGCTGCTTGCGAGAATTGTGAACTGACGTTAATACACCATCGTCGTAGCTGCTACCTTCTTGACGTGTCTTGTTGTAATAAATTTTAAATAATTATTGAAGTGCGTGGAAATTGTTGATATGCGTAATACAAAACTTAATACACTGTGTTGGTTGAATTTAATACTTTCGTAATTAATGTACCGTTTCCATTAGAACAAGTTGTTACAGGGGAATTGTTGTTTTACTGTCATTTCGAATAATGTTGCATCATTGGATTGGTATCCAGATGGATATTAAAATTTAAGGTTAAGGGCGCATTCCGAATATGAGAAATAGTGCGCACACTCTAATTCTCGATTCATCGTAACGGCCAATCTGAAAACATCCCTAGGAATTTTGCGTGGACGGTCTAGGTTAGGTCGCGTGACGCAACGACTGAAATAAACCGCTGTTTCGATTTCTTAAATATTGGCATTTTGGCGAGACGGGAAGGAAAGGTTTTCGCTCACAAACGATGCGTCGAGTGAATACGCTACTGAAATATTTCTCCGGTGATTCAGTAACAGCGATAAATGTTAAGAATTTCGGATTAAAAATAGCCGATTCGGTTGAGGGGAAATACCTTAACTGGGTTCTCACGATGATGAGGAAACGATTTGAAAGTCCTGCTTTTGTACCTAACTTCGCGATTGTCGGTTTCGTTCTTTATTGGTTCCATACTCGCATAGAAATGAAAGGTTATGGGATACCATGCATCCCGTTGAACATATTTTCCTCCTATCCTAAACTTCGAATTAGAATAATATGTATTTTATGAATGTAAATAATATAAGAAAGATAATGACATAAGTATACCAAGAAATAGAATTTGGTTCTTGTGTAACCTCGTTTTGCTTCGTAATTAATGCTCGCTACGTTAGCATACCAATTTTTCAATTCTAATGAATGGTATAGTGATCTTTTCGACGAATATTATACTTTGAACAATTAAAATATTCGCGCGTTGCAATAAAGTTTGTCGTAATTTCAAACGCGCCTTTATTGTGAATTTAATTGAACGGTATTTGTAACTACATGTTTTGGAACATTCTTGGTATTGGTCAAGGACGGATTCAGAATTTGTATTTGAATATAAATATTTATTTCATCATTTATTAAATGATAAAATGAATAAAATTGTAAACGTGTAACAGTACAAATCCTCGACAATTCTTCTTTTATTCTAAATATTTGCGGTTGTTTTTCTGGTACTGCTACATAACGCTATTACGGTTCTAGTTAGCATTGAGTTAGTTGAAATAGAAAGAATTATTTGAATGTAACTGTTCTCGACGTTGAACTAATGATTAGTCAGATTATCATATTAACCGAGATAAACAGTTTTTCCGGATGAATCTTTTAATTTACTTATCTAGGAATGCATAATAAATATAGTAAAAAGTTATGTTTTCCACTGGTGTGTACAGATAAGAATAATCTGGAAATGTTATCCTACTAATAATGACAATCATTTGGCGATTTTTTTTACACCTTTACTAAAATATTATTCAGTTTTTACTTATGGATTCATTAAAGATGATATCGTTAATTAAAAGAAACTGCTACCAATCACAAGTACAAACAGCCCTATTTTAAGGTTAAAATGTTTTGTTATATATTTTCATTAAAAATTTTATTTAAGCTTCTGCGATTCTATCTAAGTTGCATTTTTGATAGAACATAACCTAAGTTTATTTTTTTAAGCAAACGTCGCAGCCGATCGATCCACAGGACATTCATGTGGAATAACAAGTTTAACTAGTTTAAAATATTGACAATGAATCAGAGAAAAAATGAATAACAGATTTATTGTGGTAATCACTAAAAATGTACTATTTCTTGATAGGAACGAGATAAATCGTCTTCTCAAGGTTACTAGGACAGAAGTCCATACGGAATTTTCTATAAACACATAAAATATGTAAACAGTATGTTTATAATAATATTAGAATTTTAAGAAACGTTAAAATTTGCAATAGAATCCAATTAAGCCACTTCAAATTTGTAAACAACAGTATAAACGTGACAACAGCACTAATGTAAAGTAATTAGGGATGAAACAGTGTGGAAACTGCTAACCTTGAATGGGTAATTGTTTTCGTAAATTTAGATCGTTGTATTACTAGTAGACATTGTCAAACTTATATTTCCCTTTCGGTTAACACATTGAATGCCACGGGGGTCATCAGTGACCCCCAACCAAATCGAATTACTATAGTTCACTCAATTAAACGATGATTGTTTGAAAACATATGCGGTGACATTCAGCTAGATGAACGTGCGACAACAATAATGCAATTCAATCGAAAGATTTAATATTTTATTTTTTCCATTTCGTGCATTTTGGTGAATGAAATCGTACGGCATTCAACGTGTTAAAAATTTTTATGTTATATTCCTCACCTACAAAATATCCTGTTGACTCTCCCTCCCTAAAGTGAAGGTATCATTTTACTTAGATTACTGGTTCATATCCTCATACATGCATGAATTTTTCACTTTACTTCTACAAGATTTTACTCCTTTTTGTCTACAATTTGACAAATTTTATGTGTAAAATATGATAAAAAAAAATTATAGGCGCATAATAATAGTTGTTACTAATGAATAATATTTAAATACGTAGTCACATAAACACGATACGAATAACGAGATCCGGTAGTGAGTGAACAAATCCAGAAACACCTATAAGAACGATTTGAAGAAGTAAATTGTATACAATTATTCATACCTGTTATGTATGAAGGTCGCGGAAGCTGTTAGAATCTTGTTGCGATATAGAATCAGGACAGTGACCTTGAACGGTTAATTACCTCGAACCTAACCCAGTGTATATATCGTTGTATAGTACCTTACTTGTAGCCAAGATTAATAGCAGTACTGTCGAGCTTGTTTCAATAATAGCTAAAAATAGAACTTAACTATACATGTCTCGTTCAGTTCAAAATTATTTCTCGTATATGTCGCATCCCAAACTTTACGAACACAATGTACATCGCAACAACATCCGAATTCTAAAGGAAAAACGGAGAAAACACTAAAGTCTTCTAATACAAACTAACACGTTCATCTGTCTAGCTGTGTTGCTTACACCTGTTGTGCCCTCGGCTAAAAGGTAGCGACCGAAAAGTGCACACCCCAACTCACCCCTCAATCGTCATGTTTTAACAAGCACCAGGGGTGCTTCCATTTTCACTCTAGTGTTTATGAAAGTCCCTATATTTGCTCGGTTCATGGCAATAGAAAAGAAGAAAAGTCGAAACGACCTTTACAGCGCAATATATGAACAACAATGGAGAACAGGGGTGCGTTAAAAAGTTCACCCTATCTTGCAAATCAAAGATCCTTGGTTTCCAACGTATTCGCTCGCGCGACGTGCCAATTTACGAATAATTTGAGGTGGTCAGGTCGGGTGAATCATTCGGTACGGCGGAGCGGGACGCGATAAGTAGGCTGTGAACGTTGCACAGAAGCGCGAGGAGGCGATCGCGATTGGCCAGAATCGTTAGAGAACGTCTGTGGGGTCTGTAACGGTACAAAAATCCAACGAGCATCGCGTCGATCATGAATCATGCATGCGCGGCTTGCGTTTCCGTAGTCTTCGATCGTACGCTGATACATAACGCGCCGCGGAAAAAGAGAAGGAAGAAAGACATGGCGTCGAAGGAGATTACAAATGAAATTTCAATATTTCAGTGGATCCAAAAAACAGTCCCTAACTAAGCTTCAGCTTTTGAACATATCACTAGGATGCACGTTACAATCAAAATCGATAAATCAGGGTTTCTCATCGTTACCCAAAATATATTTCCCGAAAATTCATTATGACACTCTCATGGACAAATACCTTAGAAAACAGGAGAACTTGGAAACAAGTGCATAAGGCATAATATCATTACGACGGATACCACAATAATAATAATAGTGAATATAAAAAGTCTCGTCAACTTGGTCCGATCGCATTTTCTCGGGTCTACAACTAGGTAAGGTTGCCGCGTCGACGCGCATAGGTGTAGAAGCGTCGAAGGCAGAGCAGCCGTCGTCGGACGGCTGTTCATGGAAACGATACCGGCGGCCGCGCGGAGGGGTCGGCGGCAGAGGGGAAAACCGGGAAGGGAGAACGGAAATATGCAGTTCGTATTGAGGCAGGTCGGGTGCAGCGCCACGAGTCGCGCTCTAGGCGCAGAGATCAATGTACCCGCCCCCTTGGTGCCTTGCCGTGGACGTACACGACGAGTCCGCCTCGTAAATCCGCGAGCACGGGATGTGTCCGGGGTGCAGGAATCGCGAGGACAGGCCGGCCGGCCGGTAGAATGTCCGGGCACTCTTGAGAGCGTCCGCGCGAAAAATGGCCGTGGTGTATCCTGGTTACATAAGAAGAAAGTCGATCGGAAGGTGAAGGGACCAAACTGGTGATGCAGGCTACCACGGGGACGCGTGCGTCGTGTCGCTAAGGGTTACCCGGTCGGCTAGGCGACCAGTGGACTGAGTTCCGTGGAGGACATCCGCGGGGGACCTGGGCTGGAGCGCCGGGAGCAAGCCCAGGATCTAGTTTATTGGTCAGAGGCAACTGGACCTCTTTGTGACCCAAGGAACGCTGGGGAACTGAGAAAACAACAGTTCCTCTCGCTTCATCCCTGCTTAGCTGAATCTTCCTTAAGAACCCTTCGACTCAATTAGAATCTCATAGACACAAAGGTGTTTTCATCTGAATTCGTGCACACAGCTGAAACGTGTCTCGTAAATGGTGACCCAGATGCGGCTTCGGGGTAGGAGAGTTGAAAGTAGGGCTAGGATCACTGGAAGACAAGCGGAGGATGCCGGACAGTGAGCCGGGTTGCGAAACGCTAGAAGCCGACGAGGACGATGGGCGATATCATCATCTTTGAGGATTCTGGCTTTAGCTAGCCATCCCTAGCTAGAATGGTTAACCGGTACCGCGGAAGGGTTCCGCGGGGTACAGGAGACAATTGGCTCCGAGGTCCTAGTGTTCAGGAGAAAATGACGCTGCTGGGAACGATACCGTAGGAGGAACCATGCGAATCCATTGGATAGGATTCGGTGAATCGAATATCGTTCACGTCGGTGCTGGTAGTGCCGGGAGATTGACGGGACTGTTACAGGGCAAGGGCGGCGCGGCAGGGTTGGTCGACGACAAAAGGGTGACGAGGGCACAGGGGAGGGAGTTGTGCGCGAGGTATTGACGGGACGTGAAGCGGAGGGCCCTTTCTTCGCGGAGTGTTCTCGACCCTGTCCCAATTTCCAGCCTCGGAGGCTCTCGAGTAGGGGCGGCGGCGACGACGCACGATGTGTTACGGGTTAACGAGGTTGTCGCTGTCCGCCAACCAGAGGGACGAACCACGAAGAAATATCGAAAACAGTTGCGTCGATTCGGGGTGGGAAGGGGATCGCTGGTAAATGGTCGAGATTCACAACCACCACCGGGGGGCTGTTTGGGGAAGGAGCAGCGGTGCGCGATGAACGTTCAGGTGCACGTACTCTCGTAGCATAGACAGAATGTTCAAGAGCAGGATCTTCCAGGGCGACCTCAGCCCTATCTCGATCTCAGGCAGCCTGCAACAGTCCAGTACGTAACAACTGGGGAAACGAAATAAAGGGTCCCCCTTTTACTCTCGCGCCGCGGTTAGATCGATCGTTCGACGCGCCGCTCTCGCGCAGGAGATCGATCCTTCAGGTTCCGACTTACCAGCGACCGTGGGGACGAGCTGTCCGGACCCTACACACCGCACCCTTTTAACGGAGTTTGAAGGATGTTTAGGGCTTTCCCCTCTGAGCTCCACAGTATACGGTTTCTGTTGTTTTTTCAGTTTGATTTTGTGAATCCCTTTTTCTTGGTTTATTTCGACATTTTGATTGAAGTATCTAAATGAATTTATGGAGAATTTTATTATGTAACGAAATTGTTAAAAGTCCATTTGAATTTTTGTCACTCAACTGTAAAAATATAAATTTGCGAACACATTTGTAATAATGATATTGTCAACCCGAGGAGTTAGTAAAGCGTTCAAAATTTGACTGTTATCAAAAGTATCCAAAATAACAATTCCTCATATAATGAACCAATAATGAGCAATTTTTCAATCCAAGGTGAACAATTGTCATATACGATACCAGTATTTAAAAAAACTATACTCCCATCAGGCCATTTAAGACCCTTTTGCACACAAAAACTCCAATCCTGCCACGTTGAAAAATCTCCCCTGACCCCAGTCTATGTATGTGCGCGCGCGCGTGTACTCAATCGAATTCCGGGTCTAGACAATAGATGAAGATGTTCGCGACGGGAAGGATAAGACGAGACACCGACAACGCAGCTAGAAGTAGGTGGAGGTGTGTATCCACCCGTAGTGGGGTACCAAACAGGTTATCGACCTCCGGTGCAGCTGTTATTGATCGGCTGAGGGAGAGGACTAGCAACATCACTGACTTCGGTTTCGAAACATCCGGTTGTCCTATCCTGTCCCTAAGGATCGACCGTTCCCTTCCGCGCAAAAAACCTCTGTCGTTGAGCCGATGATCCCCCTCCAACACCCGCACCCCTCACGATCACCTTGCCCTGGTGTGTCTAATCATCGAATTTCGCGCAGCATCGACCCAGAAACGCAGCCTCGGGGAATCCGGTAAAGAGCGCCGAGCGCGCAGGATGACCCAATAAAGACTGGGTGACCTCTTTCCGGACTCCTCTCCCTGTTCCTCCACCTCCAACCCCCAACCACGTCGGCTCTGCCGCCGACACGACCGCCATCAAACTGCCACGGCGATTGCTATGACCTGCGGAACGTATAGTACAATTACTATTATTATTTATTCTGAACGGGTTCCCTTTTCCTTTTTGTTACTTAAGTGGAGGATAGTAGATTAATGTTGCTATAATAATTGTCTAAAAATATGGACTAAGCAAAGAAATAATGGTAAAGTTAGATATTTTTTCTATATTCTTTTTTATTTTGAGTTTGTAATTCCAATAAACTAAATCTGGTTCCTTCGAAAGATTTTCATGTGGAGATTGATTTTTGGAAATTTAGTAGGTCATTGGAAGAATAGTTTGGATATGGAATACTGTGTAATGACGTGTTTTTATGTATCAGTTGATTAGTCAATTATTCATCAGATCGCCAGAAACTTTTGAGTTTTGACGATTAGGCACTAGGAGGGCCGTTTTATGAATGTATATGTTTACTTTTATCGTTTTATGTTTATGCTAAATAGAAGTATCCACGGTTAATTAACTTGTATTTAATTGTGAAGAAAGTATTTAATTTATAATGTACAATGTCGTTTCTCGTGTACATTTGTAGAAGCATTTACTGTGATGTCTATGGACACCTTTAGTTCCAGTGTATACAAGGATCATGCTAATTCTGTTTATAACTGTTACAGGCCAGCAGAGTCAGCAGGGTGAACAAGAACTAGCGTCGAAAATGCTGCACATTCAAAGCAAAAGATTCTATATTGATGTAAAGCAGAACAGACGTGGGAGGTTTATCAAAGTAGCCGAGGTATTTTTGGAGTGTTTTTAAGGGTTCTCGAAGCGAGTACCATTTTGTTACTAGAGCATAAGTCACTAGCACTCGTTCTTGTCGAAGGGAGGAGGGACTAATTTTCGACGTTCCCTTTCAGATTGCTGTAGATGGAAGGAGAAGCCAAATTTACCTGGCGCTCAGTACAGCGTCCGAATTTCGGAACTATCTTTCGACGTTTAGTGACTTTTATGCATCCTTAGGTAAATAACAATCCTTAATCCCTACTTACACATAAGTTCAGCCTTTACGAATAAATGATTACCTTGATTCAGCTGTCCTAACTAGAAAGTGTTTACATTAGTTTCGTCCCCTTTCCTTTTTTAAATAATAGAAATCAAGGTAAAAAACAAAAGAATGTCTCATCTTCGCCCTAGGATGAAGAGTTTATCTCACAGGCTGAATTCCTAAACATTTATTATTTAAATAAGGAATAGAACTGATCAGATAATTTAGCGGACACTTTTTATAAATAGTTTTACTTTAAACACACAACAAGTTATTAGAGATTAAGATCTTCTATTCGAGATGTGAAACGTTGTAATGTTCAGGCCCACAGAACACGGAGAACGTACCGGATGACGGAAAATTGAAATCGGAAGTGATGACGAAGGACAACAGGCGGTATTACCTGGACCTTAAGGAAAATTCTCGTGGCCGTTTCTTGCGGGTAAGTTATATCATAATATTTTCTATCCAATGCAGAGGATTCTATGTATAAGATGTAAATTAATTAATGGACAGTATCTTTTAGGCTTACCTTTTAAGGGATGAATGATTAGTATAGAAATATTGTTTGCTGTGTAGGTGTCGCAGACGATCACACGGGGTGGACAAAGAACGCAGATTGCGATACCAGCGCAAGGTATGATCGAATTCCGTGACTCGTTGACGGATCTCCTAGAGGAGTATGGTACGGATGATGGTGGCTTCAAGATTGACTTGCCAGATGGACGATACATGCGCGTGGATAGCAAGAATTTCTATTTTGATATCGGCCAGAATAACCGTGGTATCTACATGAGAATTTCCGAGGTATATATACATGCCAGACTAAACATACACTCAGGTGTTGTAGCACGTGAGAAACACTTCAAGGGTGGATTCAGAACAATGTCCTATTTCTCGGTTTAAAGCATCTCTCTGCTGCATTGAATGTACTCTTATGTATAAAGCTAATCTGAATCCACTCGTGTTAAAATATAATATAAGATACTGTATAAAAATGACATTGACGTTTCCATAATTTTGAGTATAGTTAAATATCATTAAAAGTTTATTTTTGTTTTCCTAAATGAAGACATATCAGGAGCCATGATAAGATCAAGACTAATTTTTGTTTTCCAGGTGAAGACACACTTTAGAACAGCAATCACCGTGCCAGAAAAATCCTGGGCGAATTTTCGTGATATATTTGCAGATTACTGTGAAAGAATGAGGGAACGAGGTGTCGGTAACAACGTCGGTATGAACAGCGGTGGCGGTGGGAACGCTTTGCCCGAGGGGAGGGGCTCGGTGGTGGCACAGGTACCATCACCATCGACCTCACAACAGCCTAACCCCAATCCAAATTTAGACTCTCCCTTAATGAAGTGAAAAAGGCTTTAACTTAACTCGAACATTGGAATTATAACCGTAACTCGTTTTCAAGTCATTAAGCGAACTAAAGGAACTTGTCAGAGTCTATGCCATCGTCATCGCCATTATCATCGACATCGACATCGACATCATCGTCATCGTCATTCTCACCGTCAGCATCACCGTCACCGTCACTATCACCGTCACTCGTCGTCAACTAAAAACACCAAATCTCGCCTGGAATGGTTACATATAACTATACACATATATATAAATATTTGTATATACGTGTATATATATGTATCGCGGAGAGTCACTACCGTCAGCTGATTCGTTCAGGCATGTATAGGGAATCGTGATCACACACGGATTCGCTAAAAAAGGGGTGGCGCGACCTTGATCAGCGTATCTGTCAACTAATGATCTATATATCGCCACACGTCGGGAGGAGTAAAACGATGAAGGATAGTGGAAGGAGGAGGATAGGATGATGTACGTTCACGCGCCCGTGCGTGTGTGTGCGCGCTCGTACGTAGGCCGCGTGCGTGTTTGCGTGCGTATATGTCAGCCGTGTGTATGTGAGCGCGCGCGCGCGTACGCGAAAGAAACAAAGTCTGCCGCTCGTGCGATTACATGGAAAATAGAAAAATAACGCGACGACGGAGATTGAGGATACACAGAGCTCTATCGCGCGATGTCCTTAGGTGAATAACGAGTTGCCATCGATTAACGTTATGAGTACTACCGTTCATTTCCTGGCTATGTAAATGCATTTCCGCGGGCTACGCATCCGCAATCTCGGTTTCCTTTTACGTTTCACCGATCGTTTTTCAAACGCTTCGCGAGGGAAGGTGAATCCTTTGAAGTACGGTTCTCGACGCACGCGAGCCTATTCATGTACACGTCACGCACGATGTTTGTTCAACGAAGAAAAAAAAGTCAAAAACGACAAAAAAAGATCACACATACGGGAGAAGAAGAAAAAAAGTAAGACAAAAGAAAAGGCAAAAAGAAAAAAATGTGGAAATTCTTTAGTGGGAAATGGACTGTAGTGGATATCACGTTACAATTGAATTTGATCGTTCAGAATTTATGAATAAATGAATTGTTATATTAGCGATTATATCGCGGGGAGAATGGGGAGCGTGGTGTGGGTAGTCGCGTTTAGACGAAAAGGCCCGTTGATCGTGGAGAGCGTTAATGACGGAGACGCGCCAACTTAGCCCAGTAAAGAACGTGGAAACCCGTGATCCGCTTGAGAGGCCCCGGTAATTTCGACGTGTCGTCGGAGCCATCGGATTCGTCTCGGTTTCGGACGCGCGACACGGCGTTTAGCATAAAATCCATCTCGTCTCGCGTTCAAATTCTGTCAAGCGGTCGCGAGCCCGTGTTCTCCACCGGCTGTGGTTAAGTTGTCCGGCGCAGACGGAGGGAACGGTGTTCGCTCGCCGGCCACGTGAGAACGTCGACACACAATTTAGACCGCGACGCCGCACACACTCGTTTACAAAACTGAACGACGTCTCTATTAAAGTAATTATGAAATAATATATAACATAGGCGAAAGAAAGAAAAAAAAGAAATGCTAGGCGAATACGAATCCCTATAATATGTATATTATACAAAGTTAATTATGTTATGTTTTGTTTCATCGATTCGTACGGAGATGTGCGCATGCAGACGCGAATGCATGGTGTCCGGGATATTAGAGACACCATTTACAGAATGCAATACGCGAGTCATATAAATATTGTATAAATGCAAACTAAACGAACACACATACACACACACGCGTTAGACCAACATACACGTACACGTACAGATATATACAAAACACGCGAGAACAGATTGAATACACTAGAAATCAAAGGATTCAGTCTGACAATGTATACATACACACGTAAACACGTATAACACACAGGGCAAAACACGAGATATATTCCATCATGATTGATGAACGGTACAATAGACGGTGTGCACGCGTACGTAATTACGTTACGTTTGAGTGACGACCGAGTTCTAACACAATTGCATATTAGGTATGTATTATACGAATGCATATTAGGTATTTATATAGAATCTATATAACTGTATAATTGTAACGAAATGCCAATGTCCATGGACCCAAGCAACTGCGTCCAACCGGCAACGCGGGATCAATCGAATTGAAGGTGTTGCGGGTCCTGCAGTCGCTTAGGTCCCAAGCCCCCTGGACGCAGGAAGAATAAATATGTACGTGACAAAATGAAATGAGGAAATGAAAAGGAAGCAAATAATAATTCAAAACGAACGACCGAGTCGGAGGAGAATTAACCGCAGTCGTGTTGATTTCTCAATGGAAAAGGAAAATCTTAATACGCTTTGATTCTGCAACGCTGTGCTAATATCAACAATGATTAAAAAAATGAGAGGGAGAGAGAGAGATAAAAGAAAGAAAGAAAGAAAGAAAGAAAGAAAGAAAGATGATGGTGATATCTATCCGTTCTCATGCCGTTTCTCCTGCAAACGGGAAACGGGCGAATCGAACTAATTAATCGTGAGAGATAACATTTCGCACTGGTGCGGAATAGGAGAAAAAAAAAGAAAGAAATATTAATCGAGCAGTGGAGCGGCATAGATGCATTAAACGCATTAAAGTGCTATTTAATTAAAGAGGGTGAAGATGAAGAGAAAGAAAAAAAAATAATAAAAATGAATGAAATGATAGGGTCGCGTCCGGTTCGTGCGTTATCGGCGCGCTCCCTCAAACGTTTGAAGAGATGAGTAAAAATTTTATTTATTTTTTAGCAATGAACCTATTATCTATTTCGATAAGATATTTCTTTGATTGCATTTCCTTCTAAATCGACAATTTCGGCTGGTCTGAATTTACTTAGCACGTAGGTTTTGATGAATAGAAATGAAATATAAATCACAATAACAAATTTTGAATACGCACGGGTGGGTGAACTATCGAGACACGAAAGATCCCCGATCCTCTTCAATTTAAGAGTAGTTTGATCTTTATACATATATATACACATATTGTATGTGTATGTATATATGTATATATAACATATATCTATATATATATACATATATCCATATATCCATATAACTCTTTCTTCTTGTTGTTACTCTTACTTGTATTGTGATTATTCTGTTTTTTTCTTTTCTTTTTTTTTCAATTTAAC